AATGATTTTGAAAACTAAAGTCATCTACACCAGAGGGAGACTTTGTACAAAAGTCGTTTGCTTGGATACCTCTGTCTTATTCGTGTTTCTACCGTGAAGCAGTTGAATTTACAAGATATACAAGGTACAGAGGAATAACACCTTAGTCCTCAGAAATGGCAACGCATCGGGGGTATCATGGGCGAAATATGTTATGTCCACGGTACTGCTCATGTCTATAAGCGACGGTTACTATTTTCCATCAGATGGACTGTTACCTTGTTTGCCATTCTAAGTTACATAAAAAAAGTAAAGCCGTCATTTTTAAAAAACGAATAATAATTATACAGAATAAGAAAAAAAAATTAAAATACGACAAAAATATCCATGTAACAAACACGCATAATACAAGTAAAACATTGCCTTCCTTTCTTCGGAAGTTGGCAAAAAAAGTTACTGCAAGCAAAACCTACTTACTTATTAGAATTGTACATGAGAATTGTAAACAAGGTATTTCAACATCTATGAATATATTCCTGTAGTTACATCCGTTACGCCTTGGTTTCCTTTCCTCAGGTGCAAATTACGACATCCAGCGCTTCCCCTATTATATTATGCAAAACGCATTATTCATGGCCCTCACTCACAGATATAGATACGGACAGATGACGCAAGTTTTTTTTTTATACAACTTAGAATGGCAAACAAGCTGATGGGCCACCTGATAGAAAGTGGTAACCGTCGCCTATAGACATGAGCAGTACCATGGACATAACAGAGTATACTGTTTCGCCCATGATACCCTCCATATGTTGCCATTCCTGAGGACTCAGGTGTTATTCCTCTGTACCCAGTAAATTCACGCTATATCCCACCCTTCAAACCGAAACACAGCCGTGCAAACACAACTGCTTTACGGTTGAAACACGAATGGGACGGAGGTACCCAAGCAATCGACTTTTGTACAAAGTCTCTCTCTGGTGAAAATTTTAAATTTATTTTACTCATATCTACTTACAAGTAATAACAACTTAATATAATACATAAAACTATTATTAAAATGTATTATTATGTAAAATTATTTCAGTATGTTACTATCATTATGTTACATATCTTTTACCACATCTGCCCTTCATACGCTTTCTGTTCTTACCTAACGGTTAGCTGGTAGAGAATGCCATATGGCAATAAGCTCGCCACTTGTACAAAGTTTTATTGTGCAATAAATAAATAAGTTAACTTAATTTTGTCTGTTTAAAAATTGTACACAATTGTACATATTCGCTCACATTGATGCTCCTTTCTACTTTGGGTTTGCTGGAAGAAAACTCAGAGTTAAGCTCGTCTTTGTACTTCTGATTACCTCTGTCATATTTTTATAACTAATGTGTACAATAAAGTATTAAAGTAAAAGTAAAGTAAGTTTTATTGACATTTTAGGATATAAAATTGACACACAATTGATATTACATGTAGTCGCGACATCTGTTTACATTTATATCCATGTACCAAGTCTATCGTACATACGAGTACATTGTTCTCTGTATTTTTGCCAAATGATATACAAATAGGCGGACGATTTACAAATATGTTTGTTACAATAATTCATTGTGTTTTCGGGCGATTTGATATTATTCGACTCCATTAAGATTTGATAGACAAGAATTGGATATTCAAAACAATATTAATACAAAAGAAAGGTTGTACGCGCGGGGAACCAATATTAGATTCCTAATGAACGTACTGCGGTCTGGTACAGAATATCAAATATGTACGTTAAGAGAGACGAGGTGTGACCTTTTGCTGTGACGTAGTATCCACCAGTAGGTATCTCGGTGTCTCTGCATGGCGACAATCCTTGCGTCCAGGGTTTTGGAGCACTTCTTTTCGGCCAATGGTCGTCTCCGTCTTAAGATTAGCGGAGGAATAACACCTGAGTCCTCAGGAATGGCAACGCATGGGGGGTATTATGGACGAAACAGTATACTCTATTATGTCCATGGCACTGCTCATGTCTATAGGCGACGGTTACCATTTTCTTGTCCATCAACAACTAAATGAATTCCTATCCAAGAATGATCTTTTTAATCCCTTCCAATCAGGTTTCCGTGCCGGTCATAGTACGACTACTGCTCTTGTCAAAATCACCGACGATATCCGTCATGGTATGGAAAACTCACAGCTTACGGTTTTAACATTGTTAGACCTAAGTAATGCTTTTAATACTGTCGATTTTGATATATTATTAGGAAGATTGCGTTCTCTCAACATATCTCCAGCCGTAATCGAGTGGTTTCAAAGTTACCTGAATGGGCGCCAGCAACGCATTCGTACTGAAGATAGCTCTTCATCATGGTGTCGCACGCTAGCTGGTGTACCTCAGGGTGGCGTCTTATCTCCTTTACTTTTTTCGTTATTTATTACCACCATCACTATTCAACTTCGCTCTTCCTACCACCTTTATGCAGATGATCTTCAAATTTACTCACACGCTCCATTTCATGAGTTAGACTCTGCGATATATTCAATAAACAAAGATCTGGCACACATTTCGAGCTGGTGTAAATCATTTGGATTAACTGTAAACCCTAATAAAACGCAGGCTATTATTATCGGGAGCCCCAACTATATTTCAAGAATTTGCTGGGAAAATCTGCCTAATATAATGTTCGACGGGATATCTGTGGACTATAAAGATTTTGTAAAGGATCTCGGAATATATCTTGACAGAACGCTATCCTGGAGCACCCAAATAACAGAGTTTAGTAGGAGGGTCTTTGCGATTGTGGGCTCACTCAGAAGATTACGTAATTTTTTACCTATGGCCACTAGAGTTGCGCTTGCTCACTCCCTTGTCCTTCCTGTCCTTGACTATGCTGATACCTGCTACATTGATCTCACCGAAGACCAACTTAATAAACTTGAGCGTCTCCAAAACCTGTGTATTAGATTTATATTTGGACTTCGTAAATACGACCACATCTCTAATTTTCGCACTCAGCTCAAGTGGCTCCCAATACGTCGACGCCGAGATTGGCATATATTATCTCTTCTTTATTCCATTCTATTCAATCCTCTTACACCTCACTATCTTAAAGAGCGATTTATATTTCTCGGTGAAGTTCAGAGTCACGCTTCGCGTACCTCAAATAGTCTCCGTTTAAAAACCCCAGCACATACCTCCGTGTACTACACCAAATCCTTTTCCGTTCAGGCAGTGCGCCTATGGAACTCGCTGCCACCGTCTATACAGAGTGCGCAATCCTTGGCTTCGTTTAAAGGACAAGTCAAATCACATTTTCTTTCACTGTAGTTACTCTTTTCCACTCCTTTGTAATTTTTGGACTAGATTTGTCATATTTCCTTGTGTGTGCTATGTATGTATTTATATGTGTATGTTTATGTATTTTGTATGTATGTTATATGTGTATATGTATGTATATATATATGTATGTGTATGTGTATGTATGTATATATATATATATATATTGTTATAGTAAGTAGTTTAATAAATTATATGTATTTGATATTTTTGTGCATTACATGTTTTTGTATTTTGTGCACGAAAATTGTTGATTCACTCTTGCGCCACCTGCCCTTTTCTATCTGTTCTCCCTTAACTAAAGGTTGTCTGTAAGAGATTGCCCTAGCGATAAGACCGCCTTTTGTACCTTTATGTGTATATTTCAATCTGTATTTATGTTACTGTATTTCATTTGAATTATTCACTTGTCATTGTATATTTTTATTTATGGTGCAATAAAGAGTTAAATAAATAAATAAATAAAAAATAAATAAGTCATCATTGGCAAACACACTAGTTAAAGGCCTTCGTCTTCAAATTTTGAGGTATTTTAGATGAGAAAATGTGGTATAGTTTTCCGAACGCTCTCCAATCTAGATAGATAACAGTATTACTTTAGTTATATTAAATTGATCTCCACCGTGCGTTTTTCAAGGCACTTTCTTCCACGCACAACCACACTTTGGAATCAACTTCCAGCAGCAGTATTTCCGAACCGATACGACAACATAACCTTCAAGAAAAGAGCATATTTCTTTTTAAATGGCCGACATACCTGCAATCCCTTGTGTGTTGCAATGTTGGTAATCATGGGCGACGGAGCTATTGTAAAATAGACGTGTAAAATCTATTAAAGCTTTCAAGCAACAAGTGAAAAATTATCTTCTTCCTGATTGGTTTTTCATTTGATAAAGTGACATTTGTCTATTTATATAAGTATTTATTTTATGTTAATTTATTTTTCTTGTGCCTATAATTAATATATAGGTTTTTTCGAGAAATAGGTACAAATTTAACTTATATGTGTACGTTTTTTAAATTGTCTATAATAATTTATTTTTTAAATTCGATAATAGGTACTTGTAATTATGTTCCTTAACGTTCTACGCTATTATTTTAAACTTGTTAAGTTATACAATACTATCATACCTACTTGTATGTACAACAATTAGTCCTTTACCCTAAGGTTGTCTTGAAGATATTGCTTTCAGCATTAACACCGCCTTACTGTACTTATACAACTGTATTGTTACATTTATTGCCTTGCTTATTCCCTATATTGTATAATGCAAATAAAGTATTAAAGTATTCATTCATTCATTCATGACAATAATTATGAGCATTTAAACCGTAACAAATAAATTCAATTAAATATCTTATTAATATAATAAAATTTGAACTAGAGTATGCCTGCAATTGGGAGTTATTTAGGAAAAAATAATATAAAAGGTCTTAAAACCAAAAGATGCCAAAACAATAATTGTTAGAAGTTTTGTCTGTCTGTCTGTATGTTCGTTCTGGCCTGGCACAAAAATCTACTGCACCAAATTGGATGCAGTTTACACAGTTTGTTCCTGAAGATTTTAATTCATAAGTGCACCGCCTACTGATTTCGCTGTTTGGCCAAAAGCTAACTGGTACAGTAGGTACATTTATAGTATGCATTAAAATTTAAATAAATAAATTATGATATTTGTAGGAATGTAAAATAATATACCTCAGTTGTTTTCTTCTTGCATTTATCTGTCCCTGCAAATATGTTGAGCTGTGTGGAGCCAGGTTTCAAAGGACACTGATCGATGTCCACTCTCCTTAGATCGATGTCAATGCCACTCGTACCCCTGTCGAGATGAATATATGGTTAACGCCTTAGATTATATAGATAGTGTTACCATACACATGTTGAGACAAAAATGGGTCAACCGTTTTATCTATGTGTGTATAAATAGGGTTGCCATATTGCAAATTTATTACTCAGTATATGGGAGAAATTACATTATAAGGTAATCTTAATGATCATGTACAACACGTCGCGTACAACGCGGTTTCAAAAATGTTTTCTCCCACGAACACTCAGGCTATGGAATAAGTTTCCTGCCGAGGTTTTCCCAAGAGACTACAGCTTGGGGTTCTTCAAACGGGGTGTAAAGAGGATTCTTCAGGATCGGCAACGCGTGCGTAATACCTCTGGTATTGCAGGTGTTCATAGGCTACGGTAAGTATTTACTATCAGGTGGGCCGTATGCATGTTTGCCACCTCAGTGGTATAAAAAAAAAGGTTACCACATATTAATGTTGACGTGTTTATTTTGCAAACCTGGGAATATCACACTATGCCACTTTGTCCCAAAGTAAACAGAGTTTATACACGTACTATATGTACTAGTTAATTATTGGACGTATTTAAATACATAGATTTTTTCTCAATCGATTTTAAAAGTTTCGGTGGAGAGGAGGAAGTTCTAGATTCGATTGTAGTTTTTTTTTGTTTGTTACCTCAGATCTTTGGCATTTATAAACTGATTTAAAAAACTACTTTTATATCAGAAAGTATATACTTTTAGATCGATTGTGTAGAAAATTAAATTAAATTAAATAAAAATAACTCGTTGAGCCACAATTGAATAAAATTTGAAATGATTAATTCATACCTACGACACATAGAACATTTCTCGTACTCCAAATACTTGAGAATACAGATATTTGTGTTGTAAGCACGGTGGGATGAGACGGCACGGGACGGGACGGGATGGGACGGGATGGGATGGGATCTGAAGAGCGACTTCCAAAAGGAGAAGTTTCGCAATTTGTCCGTATTTATTTGTTGTGTATCGTCGTCAATTATTATTTTGTTAATTATTTTGCAACAGACAGGATTTCCTCTCGTGTTATTTCTATATTAATTTAGCGATAATTGAAATTGTCGTATTGTATTGCAGTGTAAATCCTGTTTGTCGCTGAACAAAATCTATTTGTAAACGTAATTCTTCGTTCTAAATTCAAATATTTTGAAATGTTCACGTAAATACGTACAGACTGTGGAATGAGCTCCCTATAGAGGTTTTTAAACATTTTTATTGTTTCCGAAACACAATTATTTGTTTTTAAAATAGGTAAGTAAACTCATTTCATTAAAAGACACATCAGTGTTACAGTAATTATTTTTATTTATGTATAATCATTATTTTTATAATTTATGTAGTATTATTATTTATAAATTTAAATGTATATAATTTTTTTTTTATACAACTTAGAATGGCAAACAAGCTGACGGCCCACCTGATGGAAATTTGTAACCGTCGCCTATAGACATGAGCAGTACTATGGACATAACAGAGTATACTGTTTCGCCCATGATAACCCCCATGCGTTGCCATTCCTGAGGACTCAGGTGTTATTCCTCTGTACCCAGTAAATTCACGCCATATCCCACTCTTCAAGCTGAAACACAGCCATGCAAACACAACTGCTTCACGGTTGAAACACGAATGGGGCAGAGGTACCCAAGCAATCGACTTTTGTACAAAGTCTCCCTCTTACTTACTATTGTAACATATGTTTAATTTTAACTAGGTATTATTAACTTTTATCTATAGTTGTACAGTTTTTATCCCCAAACATTCTACAGTTTTTTGTCAACTTCTCAAAGGTTGACTGTAAGAGATTTCTCTATAAGTTTACTATTGTAATATTAAGTCTTTTTTTAACAGTTCCTATGTTAATTTTAGTTATTGATTTAAACTTTATTGATTAATAAAATATGGTACAAAAGGTGGAATTAATGCTATAAAGATTATCTATCAGTCCACTTTTAAAATGTGTAGAAACACTCGAAGGCGATATAAAAAAAGAATAAATATAAAAAAGAATAATAATTTTACAATACAGTACAATACAATTAATGCTTTTTGGGGGGAAGGGATTGTTAGTATGGGGAGATTAGTCTCCATTGCAGTCAATGTACCCTACCCTATCAGGTTGACCTCCACGCGGTTATCCTTGGAAACGATCGAACAATTTATCGTTTATTTATTATTTATTTATTTATAAATTACTACCACACTTACAGTATCCCAAAACGTATATAAGTGAGCCATAGGTTTATTTTACAAACTTAAAAATTTGGAACAACGTTTTAAAAATATATCTATTTTGTCATTAAATATATCAATATCTGGCTGCTGAGCAATCAGAGAATTGAGTAGAGAAATAGCCTGATAAGTGGGAGCAAACTGAGCAGTACAGGTGCGAACCGGCGGTGCGGATAGTTATCGACAAGCACGTTGAATTCGTCACGATAGGCTAACTGACCTGGTTTTTCATCCTCACCAATCATCCCAACCAATCATCCTTCACTGGTGCTCGCCAGCGCATACCGATAGCGCAGGCGAGGTTACCATTTCATTACCATTCCATACCAATAAAAAAAAAATACAATTAGTGATAATATACCTACAACATATTCGTAAAAGGACGAAAATTGTGCAAATTTACGTGTACTGTTTCATTGTACCTGAGGCTATATTTCAATGTTGATTTATTAATTAATTTCGCGGCCTTTCATTGTAAAACGCAAATGGCTGAACAAATTGAAATGTGATATTCAAGAATGAAAGTTTATGTTGCAATGTTTGGTGTCTCTTTATATGGGACTAGTGATCCGGCCCGGCTTCGCATGGGTTAATAGAAATTTCAAAAATGATATATAGCCAATGTTAATCGCTCATTATGTAGCTTTTTATAAGTGAAAGAATTTTTTATAAATCGATTAAGTAGTTTTTCAGTTTGCACGCATGCACGCACGCATGCACGCACGCACGTACGCACGCACGCACGCACACACACACGCACGCTCGCACGCACGCAGGCATGCGCACACACACACATATTTGTTAATAACGATTATTTTTCTGTGTACTGATCTAACAAATTAAGAACAATAATAACATAAATGTTCCTACGAAAGATGGGTAGCAATGTCCCTTTTAAGATCAAAGCCAATTGCTAACCCGCCTTCTAAGCGTGACAGCTACTGGCTAAATACCCCTGATGTGCGGCTTATGTCCAGTAGTGGACAGATAATGGCTAATATAATAATAATAAACTGACCGTATGGTCCCAGCACATAATAGGCCTACTCTTCCTTTCCTGTAAATATCGTAAGAGGCGACTAAGGGAGTCCCCCCCCCCCCCCCCCGGGCATGATGGGCAGCAGCGTCCTTCTTAAATCATCTCTTTAAGCCTAACTGCGGTTACCAATCCGTCTGCCAAGCGTGGCAACTACTAGCAAAATCAGTAATAGCAGTGGACAGTTAAAGGTTGGTATGATGATAATGAATAATAATAAAAAAAATGTTCATACAGCTTTGTGTCAACTTACATTTAGACTAAAATACTTTGTACAGAGTTCTCAGTGGCTTGAATACGAACTCAAAGGAATTTATAGACCTGTATTTACACTAGATCTTTATGTAAATGCATCCCACGTTTTACAATTTAAATAAGACTGAAGTTTTTTTTTTTTTTGTAAAATGTAAAAATTAACATGAAGTGAGGTATTATTTGCTTTGAGCAATAGAATAAATAAAATGTTTAAAAAGTCGTATTATGACTGCAAATGGATTTTTTTTATATTGTAAATGAAATAGTATAGAAATAATTTTTATTTTAATAAGACATGTTTACAAGCTCTTTTAAGGTCTTTTTTTATGATTCTGCTGCTGAGTTCGAAATGTTGTTATTTATTTGTTTAAGGTCACTTACAGATCACTAAACAAAATTGTACACGAAATACTAGATGTCGCTAAAATCAAGAGTTTAGTTATTGTCGATTATTTTATCATTTAAAATAATTTGAGACAAAATTTCTAAATTGGCGAGTGGTCTTAGTTATTTTTTATCGATATATTAAAAAAAAATATAATTAATATTTTTATTCTCTTGTATTGTACAAATTTGTAAAAAACACATACTAGTATGAAACATGGTGATTGTGTTTGTAATTCCTCCAAGAAGAGGTCGCGTAAAGAAAGAAAAAGAAGTTTATTCTATTTTTTATTAAAATATTTTTTATTTAAGTAAACTTAAAGTTAAGCATTTTTGAATGGGCTTTTTTAAAAGGGTGGTAACTAACCTGCAATTTCTCTGATATTGCAGGAGCCTATGGGCGGCGGTAATCACTTACCATCAGATGAGGTGCATGTTCGTTTGCCCCCAATGTTATAGAAAAAATACGGACTTATCATAAACCAACCATGTCGAGAATTTAAATGTTTTATATATGCCAAACACAATATAATGTAACTGTACCATAATAGAGGTCTTAAGTGCCATTTGTAACCTAATATTTTTTCAATAAAAATAAACCGGATTAAATATGATCGCTACATGAAACGTAGAAAACGTTTATCCGCATCGATGTGTATTCATGTTGAAAGTTTTTGTGTAAATGGAAAGCGTTCTTTCGTGACGAACATCGGGGGTGATAAGTGAATTTATTGAGTAAGTATGGAGATGAGGCCATTTGCATTGGCCGTTTACGTGCGCTTACACGGTTCTCTAGCATTTATGGAAGGTAGAATTAAGGTGCGGTGCAATGGGGTTAGAGTGAAAATAGCTATGTTAATGGGATGTGGTAGTTAAATTACAGGAAATGGTGTCATAAACTATCAAAATAATAAAGATGTGTGAGTGTATCACATAGTTCTCCGTATTAGTTATAAATAGTCATTTCGTTTACTATTAAAATATATTTCTGTCATTGATAAGTTCGTATACATACGAACTCACATGAATGCACATGCACACGTGCAAAAACTCACACGTACACATGTACTCGCAT